CGGCATCATTCCCTGCCCGGCCCGACTCCCCGCGACCGGACACGGAGGCTCAGGAACATGCTCAGGGACGCCCCCTGCCGCGCCCCACAGACTGGCCGGGCGCCGGGGTGCGCGCATGTGCCGTGCCCGCGGAGCGGCCGGTGACTTGCTGCCCAGGCCTGGGAACAGACCCCACCCCCCGCGGCTCACGGGCCGGGCCTGGCGCGGCTCTCACCAGTGCCAGTTGTTCACATTGGTGGCGTCCGCGCGCTGCTCCACGATCCAGCGCGGGTCACCCTCCCCCCACTTGGCCATCGGAGCCTCCGAACGCGCCGCCGCCGAGCCAGGCTCCTCCGCACGGCCAGCCTATGGAACCTACTAGAACCGCCGGCGCCCGCCTCCCGACTTCCGCCACCGGCACAATCCTTCCGGTCCCCGAGACGCCCCGGCCGGGGCAGGGACTCGGCACTTTGGTTCCGCCTTTGTCGGGGCGTTCTCCCTCTGTCAGTCAGCGTCGCTCTCCACTCAGCATGCTCCGCGCCCGAGTTCTCTCAGCTCTTCGCTTGCCGCCACTTGCGGCGGAATAATTTTGTCTCTGCCATCGCCGTGTAGCGGAATTGCCAAAGCCAAGCCGGGTTCTCACGAGGCTTCTTGGGACTTGTAGTCCACATCTGCGCGGACAGAGGACCCGGGCACAAGGCGGAAACTACACATCCCATGGTGCTCTGCGCGGACTCCCTGCCCTTCTCGTAGGAGGGCAGGCTGGAGGAGCCGTGAGCATCCGCGGGCCGCCGAGTCCCTTTCCTCTGGGCCAAGGGAGGGACTTGCGTGGCCCCGGTGCTCGCTGGTGCCGCCGCCCCGGCCTTGGAGGGCTAAGCCTGGTGTCTGTCTCTGGCTCAGCTGGCCCTACAGTGCCGGTCGGACCGCGGCTTATCCGCTCCGCCCCGGCCTCGCCTCCCACCCTTCCCTTCTCCTCTGGCCGCCGCTGCGGTCCCCTAAAAGCCTCCCCCCGTCGGGCCTAGGCCCTGAAGTGCTCTCTGTGACCTGGGGAGATTTGCCTGTCGCTTAGCCCGTGCGTTTCTCTTTGGCTGCTTTTCCAGATGAACAGGATGAAAGTTGACGAGGAGGAGTATTGGCACAGCTCCAAGTGTAAAGCCTTCACATTTGATGATGACGATGATGAGCTCTCCCAGGTACAGTCTTCAGGCTGCATAGTAGGTTGATAAAAGCCTAGAGACTCGCCCCTTTCTTCCAAAGGTTGGTGAATGGAGTAGGGATATTAAAAGTCCGTTAAATAGATAATCTTAAAACTGCTGAAAATCTCAGCACTTACACGCTGTGGGCTCTGCGGTATAAAGGTTACATACGTTTTATACTGCAGAGCCTGCAGTGAAGCCTCCCTGGGAATGGTGGAGGAAGCCTCCTCCCCAGGAGCCAAGCCACAGGGGCTACTGGCTCCACTCCCAGTGAGGTGGCTCAGCTGCTGCAGCAAAGCCTCCTCTTTGGGAGCGCAGTGGGTAGCTTTTTCCCACTGGGCTTTCAGGGAGGAAGCTTCACTGCTGCAGCAAAGCCACCCCTCTGAGTGCAGAGCCAGCAGGGGCTGGTTGCACAGCTCCCCAAAAGGTGGCTTCTCTGTGGTAGGGAATCCTTTCCTAGCCCCTCAGCTGGCAGCTCTGGTCCTGGGAAGGAGGCCTCCCTGCTCTGCTGCAGCAAAGCTGCCTCCTGTAGAGCAGGCTGAGTGTATGCTGATGCTTATCTGTTAAAAGGTTAGTTACACTCTACCATCCCTAGAATGGAGAAATCCAGATGGTTAATAGCTCCCATGCATACAATTAGCTCTTCTCCTCTGCCCACCTCTCTTTCTGTTTGAAAGAAGCTGAACAAGACCCATGAGAAGAAACAGGCACTCTGGAGGGCATAAAACATTGTTTCCTTCATTCTTTCTCAATTTCTCTATAAATCTTGGTGGATCTATGTAATGTTACTAGGAGGGAAAATAAGCAGAAAACACCACAATTACTATATATTTTTCTTTTGAAAATTAATTGAGGGGGTTGTTGAATCTCCGTTTGTTTCCTAATAGTTTTGTGTCAATTGTGCGAGAACACTTGTAGTAGCTTTGGTCTCCTTGGCCATTTTAGCAGAGGTTCTGCAAATTGGATGAGTTTATCTGAAATTTCCTCTCACCCTAGAATCCCTGAGAATAGATGATAAGTCCCGAGTCCTTCAGAATTATCAAGAGGCTCCTGTGCTTGACACTAAATGAATTTAAAATTTCAGAACTAACTTTTTAATGAGCTCTACTAATTGATTTGATATTGCTGGGGAAAAAAAGAGATGAGACAGATTTCTTGGTTTTATCTTCTGATTGTCTGGGTGGAGAAATCTGAGATCTTATAATACAATGAGGGCAAATGACCTTTCCAGTGATCCCCTACCTGCACCTCCTACTAATTTAAGATGTTTATAACTGACTCTTTAGGTATTCATAGTCCTCAGCTTCTATATATTCGGTGGAAAGGGGCTGATTGTTGGCCAGTTGCCTTGGTGCATAAGTGTAGAACATCTTCCACTGGGCTCTGAACTGTGGGTGAGAGAAAGCATATGTAAAATTGTGAGTAAGTTTGTTTGGATGGGAGTGGGTTTAGTAAAGCCTCTGACTATCTGAATGGAACAGAGATTGTCTTCATCCTAGCCTTTTGTTTGTCCGTAGCTAAAGGAGTCCAAGCGGGCAGTGAACAGCCTTCGAGACATTGTGGATGATGATAACGACGACCTTGAGAAGTTCAGCTGGAGTGGAGAGCCAGTGGGTAGTAAGTTGAAGGGTATCTGAAAGTTATCTTGGGAGGGAAAGTGTGTGGAAAACCTTCCTGTCTGGATCTGTATGTAGCTGTTTCTCATACTCCAAAGTCAGATCCCTTCCCCAGGAATGCTGAGTCTAGTCATCCTAATTTCCATTTTTTCCTGTAAAGTTGTATCTGCCTGTGCCCATTAAGAAAAAGAATGAGATGAGGCCTTTAGGTTTCTCCTTTTGTATTCTTTCCATTTATGTAAGTGGTATGAATTCCACTGTCCCCTCTCAGAATCTAGCACAGGCCGGCAGCCATAGACTTTATCCATCAAGCCTGCCATTCACCAAGCTTAAGTAAAGGAACTTCCAGAAGTATGACTGAGAACCTACTATGCTGTCCCCCACTTTTATGTCACTTCCTGCAGGACTTTTTCAACAATGCTGCAAGGTTTAGTGTGATGATTGATAGATTGATCTGGTGTTTGAGGTACAAGTTGCAGTGTTACAGATAACACAGCCACTATAAAAGGACAAGACAGAAATTACAATAAAAGTCACTTTCAGGTATCATGAAACCCTTTTGGTTCTCTGAGCTCTTATTAAATGCGTGCAAAACCAGACACCTAGCAGGTATATTCTCACCACTGCAATCTTTACTCCGACGAAGCCAGCATTTCTGTCAATCCCAATGGGAAGCAGTCAGTACGAAATGAAGGCATCCCTAAAGTCTCGGGGGTCCAAGACCGCCTGACCAGGAGGTATATGGGTGGATCTCCAATTAGTGGGGGGCACAGGGACCCCACTTTATACCTCTGTGGTCACATAGATGCTTCTCTTGTCATTAAAATGCCAATTAAGTGGGAACGTCTTTGTGGTGCCCATTCCCACAGGGGGTCCAAAGCTTAATTTGCACCTGTGAGGTGGAGGTAACTAAATCATTAGGGCCAGACATCCTTTTTCTGATGGGGCGGCAGATTCCTCTTCTGGGACAGCGTGTGTAGGCGTATCAATACTGGTACCAGCCAAAGGTAGCCCAAGGCCCCGATCACCTGCTGGCCCAATTGCCGTTATTATCTGGTTCCTGTCTAGTATCCAGGGCCATTGTTATTCCAGCACCTCTGGAGGCCCTAGAGCCTTTGAAGACAGAGTTTCGCTCTCAAGGATTCTCTCTCCCAAGGATGTCAGAGGGGGAGAGAGTAGAGCAGAGGGGTGCTTTTCCTGTCTGGCTACATTGGGCCCACCAGCAGGCTCTTTTCACAGAGATGACTCATCTAATCTTGGACTACAGCTTTTTTTTTTAATGTCATATTTTATATGGTCCCAGCCAGCCTCTTCGCACCACCACCCATTTTCACTGTCTGGCTCACTGTTCTTCTGCTGTGCCAGTTGTTCAAAATAGGGATGTGAGTGGCCTATTAGATGTCTATCAGATGCAGGAGTGTGACGGCAGGGCAGGGTTAGGCTACTGTGAAGCACTAATCAAGATCAAGTTTAGGAAACTATATGCTGAGTGCTATATCCATTTGATACAGGGAGGTAAATACAGAGACAATGTTTAGAATGTACCAGAACCAAAATTGTTGAGGACATATGCTTCTTCCATTCTAGAATTTTTCAGTAAAGACTTTGGTGTTCTGTTTTCTCTGTGAATTACAAGGGTTGTTCTCTCTCTCTGTAGGTATTTCCTGGTCCATCAGAGAGACAGCCTCCAGCAGCTCTAATGCTCCTGAGGGGAGAGACTCAGGCGTTCAGAAGGGTTCTTCTACCCATGCAACCTTACCCAAGCAAGCCTCCTCTTACTCCCTCAGCAGTTTCTTCAAAGGTAAAGTCCTCTACTGTGAGTGCATCAGAGAGGAGTCTAGTTTCTGGGTGTGTATCCCAAACCAGGGAGTGCCTGGTCTCTGGCCAGCCATAGGCAGCATTAGCCACTTGGCACAACTGATTTGTATTAAGTGGAGAGAAGCAGCAGTGATGTGGTGGGGAGAGAGATGTATATGGGGTCATTTTATGCATCATCTCTGGAGAGAGACTGAAATCTCTTTCCTTTAGAGCTGGTGACAGATTTTGCTGGGCTGGGTGTGTGTGTGGGTGTGTGGAGGGGTTGGCAGGGCTAGAGGCTAGCCACTCCTCAGCTAGCCCTCAGTGCAGCCTGGACTGCGCCATATAGGGCTTCAGCAGTAATTTAAAGAGCCTGGGACTCCAGCTGCTGCTACAGTCATGGTAGTGGCTGGGAGCCCTAGGCCATTTTAAATCACTGGGATCCAGGGCCACTGACCCAATTGTCCCCTCCACCTCACATTAGCATCCCTCCTTTTAATAGAGGAGGGCAGGCTGTGTAGACTGTATTGGCAGTTATTCAGGAGGTGGACGGGATTTACTACCGAGGTGTCCTCTCAGGTCTCTGGCTCCATCGATGATGATAACCAGAAGGCTGCTTGCGTGTGTGCTCAATGATGTGTGCCGTGTCAACTTGTGCACTTAGTCTCCACAGCAGACCCCAAGAGAGACCCCCAGAGACCACAAACCGTATAAGGATGAAGGTGCCCGTCCAGGTTTATTGTTAAGCGAAGTACAGTAATAGTTGTCAGTAGACTCTACTGAACCCTGCATACTTAGTCAAGTGGGAAATTTCCACTTTCCTCCAAAGACTGTCTCCCCAAGACACCACCTTATATACAGGTACAACAAATCACACCTCACTGTTGATGTATCAGGTTGCCACCTTCTGACACTGTCAGGTAACCACCCTCTGACCCTACTTAGAACCACCCATCACCCTGTACCTCATGGTTTGATTAGATCATCTCTTTCCATCATGCTGTCATTTTAGACCCTTTCCTGAACCTGAGTCTGTATGTGTGAGGAGTGGGTACCAAGGTCTTTTTTTAGAGTTAGTGGTATCATGTGCTTTCCACTTAAGACCAGTACTAATTATTGTTCTGCAGTCAGTACCTAGCACCAATTAGTGTTTTGCACACTCAGCCTGTTCATGCCACGTTCTGTGGTCTGGGGCCTTCCTCTTGCTCACACCTTAGTTTTGCCCTATGTTAGCCAGGCCTCAGGCCAGTGCTACAAGGGCTTATGTTTTAGGCATTTATCTTACTACATATATCATCTAGCATGCTATGCTCAGTGGAATAACAAAGCAGTTTGGACCAAAGTGGAGCGTGGCATGCTTGGAGCTCTAGTCTTCAGCAGTCACCCATTTGTGCTGTAGATGAAAACAGGCTATTTAGGACTGTCTTGGGCTGCACTTAATCATCTTTGTCACAGAGAGAGCAGACTAATGCCTTTCTCCTGGGGCTGAAATACCTTCTACTGTTGCATGTGGAGATGGAGCTAGTGACTTCACTTTGGGATTGCCAGACATCATCCAGCTGGCCTAGGAAGAGTCATGTGGCTCAGCATTGTTGTCTCTCCAGCATGGGAACAAGCTTGCTTCCAAAGCTGAATTTGCTCTCTCTAACTTCTCCACATGTGGCATGTGTTCTCTCTGCTTCTGTTCTTGTATGTTGACTGACTTAGTGTTGGTGAAAGGTGCGTGCTGAAATCATAGCCCTGGAGACTGAAGACCTCTCTGTCATCACAGTGTAGGCACACTGTGTGGCCCGTGTTCCTTGGTGATGTGGAGTGGACCTCTTTAGGGGTGAGATGGACTTGAAGCTCCATAGCCCCCTTAGCCCTTGTCTTCTCTGGGAACTAGAGCTCAGTGAGTGCCAGTTTTGCAGTTGGCCTGTGTGATGTGGACAGATACCCACTACTAATTGGCTGATACCCTCCATTCGTTTCCCATAGGCTTTGTCTGTTGGGTAGACTTAGCCTAGGATGCCCACTTGGAGTGCAGTGCTGCCTTCCCTTGGTGAGAGGTGGTGCCTGGGGAAAGACAGTTGAAAATCTGTCACTATTGCTTGTTTGATTTTTTTTTTTAATTTTTTTTTTAGGAAGAAACAAACTTGGAAGTTTTCAGTCCCTTTCCGATGGTAAGGAAGCAGGTTTTATTCCTTTCTGGGCAGGGTGCGGAGAAGGGATAGCTAGTACTTGATACTTAGGAGATTTCTGCCCACAGAGTTCAAAGCTCTTTGGCTAGCTGGGTCAGTATATCTTCCCTGTGTTACAGGTGAGGAAACTGAGGCACACTAGTATCTCCTAACTCTTTTCCACATGCTCATCATTTATTATGCTGCCTCCTTTATAGAAAATAACCTTGCTGTATAGAGCCTTCTGTGGCTTGGAAGGGGCCTCTAGCCAGACATTCTCGTACTCATGCAGTTCATGGAAATGTGGGCTCCTCTCAGTCCATAAGGCAAACCCAGGGTTTACTACTCAATCCGTGGGCCTTTTAATAAAAAACCTGTGCTGGGGAGAAGCTTAGACCAGGGAAATACAGAGAGGTTGATGTGAATCAGGATCCCAGACGTGCTATTCAGTGTGTTATCCCTCTTCTTCCCCCCACCTCCTGCCAAGCACTCTCCGATACAGGAGTTAAAAGCTACGCTCCAGAGCTGCGCAGACCGAAGGCAGAATACAAGGTGGGTGGCTCATGTTCACATTCCTAATCCCAGGGTCAGAGAAGTGAACTGCAAAGGTCATGTGCAGTGGAAGCTGTGAGTGACCAGTCCCAGTTTAGCTAGCAGAGGGCAATGCAGGAACTGGGAGGGTGAAGGTGAGATGTACAATCCTGGTTCTGGCCTGCAGGAATCCCTTCAGCAATAACTCAAGTATAGCCTCAGACATCACAACATTTACACTAAAGGTGAGTGTGTGGTGATGGAGTTATCTGTCATCTTATAGAAATGGGCACTTATTAATGCTTGAAATGCCTGAAAGCCCCTTTCCCCACCAACATGCAGCCCCAGCATTGGCAGTGGCTTCATTCCTCCTATGAGACTGAAACTGGCAGCCTTAAACATTCCCCCCCCCCCCCACACACACACACACATCAAGAGACTTATCTCAAAGCCTCAGGATATCTCATTCAGCAATAACACACTGCCCCCTGGTGGTGGTGTGTTCCTGACTACACTGCTTTTCCTCAAGTGATGATGCTGAGCAAACATTCTGTATGGAAAACAGGGTTTCCTTCTCTGTCTCTGCCCCCTCCCTCAGATTAAGTAGGTGGGGGAGAAACAATCAAGCACAATAAAGGGGGAAATAGTAGGAATGGGATGAAA